CCAGAATACCATTTTAGACCTGTCAAATGTGAAATGCCTATTTTATATCCAAGTAAAGAGGATAGACAAACCTATAGTTCAAAGGTACAGGCTAGAAATAAAAAATCTGCATGTCAGCTTAATATATTAAATAAGAGTATCTAGGGAGAGTATTGATAAATGTCCAAGGACTAAGCCCTAAGCCTCTCCAACACTAAAGTCTGAGATGAACTAGTAAAGAGTGGCTACTGACATGGGAGGAAATCTTTAAGATTCCAGAAGAAAATCAACTGTCGGGGAGCCTGGGTGGCTCAGATGGTTAAGCGTCTGCCTTCGGCTCAGGTCATGATCCCAGTGTCTGGGATCGAGCCCCGCCATCGGGCTCCTGGCTCAGCGGGGAGCCTGTTTCTCCCTCTCCCCCTGCTCATGCTCTGTGTCTCAAATGAATAAAATCTTAAAAAAAAAAACTGTCACATGTCACTAGAGGCATATAAAATATAGGTCATAAATAGACCATTTAGACTTAGCAAGCAACAAAGTTACTGGCAACCTTCACAGCAACAGCTTGTGGGAAGGTGTCTAATTGCATAATTTAAAAGTAAAATTAGGTACAAAGAAAATGGATTACTCAAACATCAAACAAAAAACTGCTCATTGTCCAAGAAAAAAGTTACCTTTTTTGAGTTTTGCTATATAAGGGGTTTGAGAGTAGGGTGTTACCTGGAAGGGTATATTTGTTTGTATGCTCATGGTTCCGGGTATATGTTTGTATGCTCATGGAAGGGACTGGTTGAATATCAATAAAGGTGAAAACTTCTAGAGCCATGAGCTTGATTAGGCAAGGAGGGCAAAAATACCAATATATGTGGGAATTTAAGTTCTCTTCTCTCATCTATGTTAAATTTTTTATGATTTTAAGGTCATCAGCTGATCAAAAATGAGAAAGTTGGAAGTGAGAAGGACTACAGAACAGAATGGGTGAATGACTAGAGGAAATACTGGCTAGTGGGCGGCATCAAATACCCACTTATTGACAGGTGATCAATAACCAATTTCTCTAGCCAAGTTCAACTTCACAGTACTGGTGCACAGTGTGGCATTTTGCTGCTAGAGGGAAAAAACCCAAAACTCTTAAGTCAACAGGCTCTTCCCATTATTCTATCAATCTAGCACAGTGGTTTTTCAAGTCTGGTCCCTGGCCATCACCATCACCTGGAAACTGTTAAAACGCAAGTTTCCAAAAAAAAGCAAGTTTTCAGGTCTCACCCTACAACTACTGAATCAGAAACTCTGGGGGCAGAGCCCTGCCATATTTCAACAAGCCTTCCAAATGGTTCAAGAACCATTTAAGGGATACCTGGGTGGCTCAATCAGTTATCTATCTTCCTTTGGCTCAGGTCACATTGGGCTCTTTGCTCAGCTGATAGCCTGCTTCTCCCTCTGCTGCTCCCCCTGCCTGTATTCTATCTCTCTGTCAAATAAATAAAACCTTAAAAAAAAAAAAAAGATTTCCTTTTATTAACCCTCTATACTTCCAGATCACTACAGCTTAAAATGGATCCCTACCCTTTTGCAGCTATTCAGTAACACAGAGCAATGGATAAAATCCATACAACAGTCTGGAAAAGTTCACATCACCATCAGTTCAGAATATCTGATTCACCAAGCCTACATTATTTAAAAAGAATTATCAGAAATTAAACATCACAAATATGATTTTTTATTTGTCACCATTAAATGTCTGACTTTTAAACAGATTCTTGGACTGGTGGCTCATATCCATCAGCTCGTTCAACTTTAGCACCGGTCTCATCCCCAGTAGCTTTTCCAGAACTACTACCTTCACCATGAAGCTCCATGAGCTTTCCCACTAAAAGAAAGAAAGAAAATGTTATAGCACCCCATTATCTTACAACAATGGTCTTCAATTCTATATAGGCATGACAGAAAAAAAAAGCCATCATTTGGACTCAAAAAACCAAGACACCAATGTATCTGGCCACACATTTTTCTCTCAGGAATCCTATTATTTTTCACTTACATTCAAACTTGGGCTTCTTCAGCATTTTTACTTTTCTAACGAACACATCATGGAGTGGATAAATAGACTGACAGGCCTTTTCTATATCTTTTCCGATGCTGTCTGGAATCCTGCAAACCAGTAAAGATAGAAAAGGATAAATTTATATATATTAATACCCACTTCATTTAATCCACTCAAATCCTCATGTAAGACAGTCTATTATTACCCCTTTACAGGTGGAGGTTAAATGATCCGAATTATACAGCTAGTTAGTAGGAAAGTTAGCATTTGACCTTTCTCCCTTTTCTATTCCACCCTCTTAGGCAACTGCGTGGGAACATCAGAAAAATGTTAACAGTGTTATCAGTGGACATTATCTGGGACCGAAACATCTTGCCATCATCTATTCCCATACATTATTGACTATGGAAACAAGTTTTGCCTAGTCAGTATATTTTCTAATTAAGACAAAAGCATTTCCTATACTTCAAGTCTCACTATCCACCATGAGATTGCTTCATTCAAATAAGGATAAAGAAACCAAATCACATTTACTGAGCACTTAACATGTTTTCATTTTAAGGAACATAGCCCGACAATTTCACAGACAGGATTTTTTATTATTTTTTTTTTTTGACAGAGAGAGACAGCGAGAGAGGAAACACAAGCAAGGGGAGTGGGAGAGGGAGAAGCAGACTTCCTGTGGAGCAGGGAGCCTGATGGGGGTCTTGATCCCAGGACTCCAGGACCATGACCCGAGCCGAAGGCAGACGCTCAACGACTGAGCCACCCAGGCACCCCACAGACAGGATTTAAATACAGGTCTGACTCCACCTTGTTTCATATACTTTCCTTCATCTGAGGGATAATCAGAGATTCAGGGTTATGTGGTATGAGGAAAAGAAACACTTACAATTTATTGACCACTTCTTTCAAGTCATTTGTTTGCACCTCTCGGGTCATGATTTCCATCATCTTTTTCCGAATTTGACGGACCTGTTGGTGCTGAGCATAAGAGGTCTTCCGAATCTGGTTATTGCGTTTTTTAGTAAAACCAACACAAAATAGACGAAGCAAATAACCATCGGTAGTCTTGACATCAACATGAGCTTCAATCATGGTCTAGTGAAAAAAGATATTGTCAGATGTACCAGGTTTTAATGTTATCAACTTATAGCCCTCAAATTCTAATATAAAAACACTAGAAAAATCAAGTACTCATCATACAATATAAAATAACAGAAACTACAAGCCTAAAGAATTAACTTCCTTGAAGTGAACTTACCCAGTTACTCCAAATCTTACTATCCTTCATTAACTAATAAATACCAAATCCTCTCAACTCTCCTCCCTAGGTAACACCTCTATCCCCATCTCAACAGCACCCAGCCCCCCAAATCTTTTACGTGCCAGCCTTTAACAGCCTACCCTTCCCACGAACCAACTGTACACCGCTGCATAAGAAAACCAGTTCTAAGAGACTCCAGTCTACACTTACTCCTTTTTAAAAAATATGTCTGAATATACTGCTATAACACTAAATGCATATTTTTTAAATGTTCTTCATGATCCAAACTAAAGCCTGATGACGATTAAATATTCAATTTCACAGCTAAAATGTAATAAGAAATCCACTCACTACTGATATTTTTGCCTCAAGTTAAAAAACGAATATTACCTTAGGTAGCAACAAAAACTGAAATACCTCCGTTGCATTTTGTAAATTGTGTACTTTAGTTTATAAATGAGTAATACACTTAGAGCAAAAGGACCTTAGAATTCTATTTCCAGAAATTCAACCATAAAATCTTCTGGGAATGTCAGAAATAAATGTTAACGGTATAATCAGAATGTATCATTTGGGACCGAAACATTTTGTCATCATTCATTCCCGTATACAAAACATCCCCAAACTGAAAGGTTAGCCAGACACATCTGACCAATGTAATTATTTCCTGTAATAACAATGCTTTCTAAATGCTTTGTGTCAAGTGCTGTGCTCAAGCATGTTTAATGGCTCTTTTATCTTCATAACTCCAAGAAGTGATAGTCTTACCTACCTACCATTTTAGATAAAGGAATCAAAGCTTAACAAGCTTTATGTCACAACTGGGAAATGGAGCAAGGATTCCAACCTCACACCGGAGGCTCTGCCACTCTTAGCAACTCTGATAACCCACTTTTAATACAAGTAAATAATAAATCTTGAACTCCACTTAAATAAGAGGATGGCTTGCTCACTGCTTTACTCAAGTTCAAGAGTGCCAATCCCAGAGTCAGCACTCAATAAAAGCTAGAAAACATCAAGGATTTGAAATGAAATCTACATATGCTCCTCCTTTTCATAACAGGGCATCCTTGGCTATGCACGCCAAAGCACCATGCACACTAAGGAACTTTTGTTCTCACCTGCCATTTTTTGACCATGGAGCACATTTTGTCACGGGTAAGATCCATGCCATGGAAATTAGTCAGGCAGTTTTTGCCCTGAACATCCTCAGTAA